CTTAAAGACTTTGACGTGTTTTAAAGGAAAACCGCAGCTTAAGAGCAGATCGACTGTGTATGACAAAAATGTATAGTAGCTATATTAAAGATGTTTTCATTCTATGTAAAATTTGTCGAATAAAAATTCATAACAACAAATCCTTTTAGTTTATTTGAAAACGTAATAATACTTTTGCACTTAAGATGATGTAGAATTGAAATAAATATACTTCAAAAGTTTTTCTTCGTGAAGATAAAACTGACTAGTAAAATGAAATCAACTGAGGTCAAACTAAAGATCCAGGATATGAAAAAATACAAATTGTTTATAAACACGAGAAACACGTGATGACGAATGATGACGTATTTTTGGCTTCAATTTTTGGCTTCGGTTATCATTCCAGTTATTCAAATGTCGAGTTCACTGATGAAACACCATTATTTTAGGCCAAACTTTCGCAAAAATTTCCGGGTGTTGCAGGCAAGAATAAAGATGTTTAAGAGAGAGTTTTGAATTGAGCTTAGTACTGAGGTCGACCAACGACTGAGTAAAAAAGGATTGATTTTGGAAACAACTCATGTCGCAAGTTTGCAATAAACAAACATGAACGACAAGAATTCCCAAAGATTATCAAGCTGTAGTTAACATTCAAAACCTTTACATACAAAAGCAATTTTGAAGTGGGCTAACTCGGTTCATGTTATTGTACACGAATTTTAAGTTCTTCTTACTCTGTGATGATTCTGATAACTAAACAAGCATTGTAACGATGTGCGATCATTTTTCTGTTTCATATCATCGATCTTAAGCATTATAAAATGCAATTGTGAGGGATATTTTTCTACTAAAGATATACGATAGTAAATTTTCAATCTTAAATTGACTTTTCAAACTTAATCATTCTCCATGATATTTTCATGCAAGTTGTTGTTCCTGGAAGTAAATTCAACAAACGCTTCCATAACGCCACACTTAAAATACTAAATAACATAAATACATATTAAAATATGTCATCCAAACATGCTGAGCTTTTTGTTGACCAAAGATACAGTGAACGCCTTGTTTCTTATATAAAAACAGAGCTTTTATTTTCTATCTAAATTGTGTAAAGCATCAACAGTTAGAAAATTGAAAATATAAAACTTAGTACAAAAGTTAAATCGATTTAAGTAACTGCTGCTATTTGAAAAGAATGGACTAAAACACTTCATAAAATCACTGGCAATTAGATAAACCTACATCACTAACTCTTTCTAACACATTGAGAAAAGAAATATGGCAAAAATGATTAAAACTATAAGCTAAAGAAGTGGCGGATTAAATCAAGTTGAAATTTATGTGTAGTGTTATTGTAGATGAATTTGATTGATTGCCGAATTTATCAAACATTTCTTGATCTCCAAGCCAATAGCTTTGGCCATGGGGGGAGGTACTGCATTACCAATCTAATAAAAAAATACAACATTGATCTAGCATATCAATATGCTTTATAACAAAGATTTAACAAGATGCTGTCGCATAATTCTGTGTTATAAGGCTGCTTGAATATCAAGCTACACCATGTATTTTTAACAGGTTTCGCAAAATTGCGATAAAATTCATATGGTTAAGTTAGACATACTGTTTTCAATGAAACTCTTACAGATAGACACGCCGTTTCCAAGCAAACTCATGCAGATAGACATACTGTTTCCAATGAAACTCTTACAGATAGACACACCGTTTCCAATCAAACTCATGAAGATAAACATACTGTTTCCAATGAAACTCCTACAGATAGACACACCGTTTCAAATCAAACTCATGCAGATAAACATACTGTTTCCAATGAAACTCCTACAGATAGACACACCGTTTCAAATCAAACTCATGCAGATAAACATACTGTTTCCAATGAAACTCCTACAGATAGACACACCGTTTCAAATCAAACTCATGCAGATAAACATACTGTTTCCAATGAAACTCCTACAGATAGACACACCGTTTCAAATCAAACTCATGCAGATAAACATACTGTTTCCAATGAAACTCCTACAGATAGACACACCGTTTCCAATCAAACTCATGCAGATAAACATACTGTTTCCAATGAAACTCTTACAGATAGACACACCGTTTCCAATCAAACTCATGAGATAAACATACTGTTTCCAATGAAACTCCTAATAATAAGGACTTTATTTGAAGAGGGGGACACGTAACAGCTGAAAAGCTGACAAACCTGTGGCCCTCTAACTAGATTATACAGGATTACAAAAAACTGATAATGAATAAATATATAAATAATTACAAAATTCTATGATAAAAATAGCAGGACATATTAAAATATTCAGAAAGATAAAATTAATTCATAAAAATTAAAATTAAAATTAGGTAGTGCGCTATTGCTTAATATTGTTTCAAAGTTGTCCAGGTTTTATATGAGCTTATAAAATGCTTTTCACAGCTGTTTTGAATAGATTTATACTAGGCTTTTTGATATCATGGGAAGGCTGTTCCATAACTTAACTGCGTCAACACTGAATAGCCACCATCGTTATTTCTTAGGTATTTGGGACACACTAAATTTAAATTGCCATTTCTCGTGGACCTATTGTGAACAGAACTGTTCGTCTTGAACAAATCTTTGATATAAATGGGAACATCGCATTTGAGGAAAGATCATGGCACATTTGTTTAGTTTTATTTCGTCAAAAAGGCAACCAGCCTAGTTTACTAAAGTTTACAACACTTCTAGAATAAGGGTCTACTCAAGAATTACTCGGGCATTTTTGTAACCTTAGGAGACAGTGGAGTTCTTTAACGTCGCAGGTATTCCAAACCATGCTCCCGTACATAAGGACGGGTTTAATCAAGGCGTTATAGTATAAAAGTCTTTCTTTTATTGGAAGGTATCTCTTTATCTTTTTTAATAAACCAATACGCTGAGAAAGCTTGGCCTTTAGGCTAGAAATGTGGTCACTAAATGTAAGATCTTGATCGAGTGTTACTCCAAGCAATTTATAAGAGGTTACTTGTTCTATTTCGGCCCCATCAAGGGTCACTGACAGGTGATTGCCATCAACTAATGATGAATGTAGCCTCTTTCCAGTGATAAGTAATGCTTTGGTTTTAACAGGGTTTAGGACCATCCCATTTTTGCTAGACCATTTACTTAATTTATCCATGTATTCTTGAAGACGTCGTTCCAATTCCAAAGGTGCATTAACGATATTAGCGCTGGCTTTAAATGTGGTGTCATCCGCGTAAGCATGAATAGTTGAGTCCGATCCAACAGCTTCGGGAAGATCATTGACGAAAATTAAAAAAAGTAGAGGTCCTAATATGCTACCTTGAGGAACTCCATTGGTTAGCATAAGTTGTGACGAAGTCGAGTTATTTACAGTGACACACTGTTTGCGATTGAGTAGATAGCTCTGCAATAGCTTTACAACATTATCTGGAAATCCATATGATCTTAACTTTACTAGGAGAATGTCATGATTGATCAAGTCGAATGCCTTGCTATAGTCCTACAGATAGACACACCGTTTCAAATCAAACTCATGCAGATAAACATACTGTTTTCAATGAAACTCTTACAGATAGACACACCGTTTCAAATTAAACTCATGCAGATAAACATACTGTTTTCAATGAAACTCCTGATGGACACACGTTTCAAATCAAACTCATGCAGATAAACATACTGTTCTCAATGAAACTCTTACAGATAGACACACCGTTTCAAATCAAACTCATGCAGATAAACATACTGTTTTCAATGAACTCTTACAGATAGACACACCGTTTCAAATCAAACTCATGCAGATAAACATACTGTTTCCAATGAAACTCACAGATAGACACACCGTTTCAAATCAAACTCATGCAGATAGACATACTGTTTTCAATGAAACTCTTACAGATAGACACACGTTTCCAATCAAACTCATGAAGATAAACATACTGTTTTCAATGAAACTCTTACAGATAGACACACCGTTTGCAATTAAACTCATGCAGATAAACATACTGTTTCCAATGAAACTCCTACAGATAGACACACCGTTTCCAATCAAACTCATGCAGATAAACATACTGCTTTCAATTACTGTTAGCGTTTAATTTTTTTCCAAACCAGTGTCGTATAAACACGACCCCAAGCCGTACGACTTTCACACCGTATTCAAAATCAACGGATGATGTGTGAACTGGGTCCGAATCACACAAAGGCATGCGCACTACAGTCTTCATACCTGTCTATGTTTATCAAGAACATCTCCTTTAAAGCAGTAAGTATCTGGAAAACCCTGGGAACGAGCGCATTCACGCACGCTCACAACTCGATGTTGGCAGGGATGAAGAACTCGTCCCTAAAGAAAATAAATCTCAAACTTTTAAAGTCAATAAAAATAGAAAATTGACAGGTTTTGGTCACCAGTTTTCCCATCGGTTCAGGATTCGTTATAGTCGTACTGAAATAGCCATCCCACTCCAGTCTTCCATAGAGACCAGCCCAGTGATTGTGTCTGTTACCAGTATGAGGTAAACACCATGGGATAAGGGTGTTAAATTGTCTATCCTGTGGATCACAGGGGACACCCTCAACACAGCTGCATACACCACGTTGTTGCCCGGATGAACTAGTGCCATTCTTTTTATCCTTATGCGTGTAACGCAATTTCTCCGTATATTTCCCATCTGCCAGGCGAACACATATGTTCGGTAAGTCACGCCAATCGGATCCGGGTACTTGGGGAATACGCTGTATCCTGGCAACGACCAATGACGTCATCTCTTTGCACACGATCACGCAAAACGGTGTTTTCATTATACATACGGATCTGTAAACAGAATTGTCAGCTTTTATGTTGTATTTAATGCAGTTTAAGAATAGTGTGAAGATCTGATATCAGATGTAATAAAATTATAAATGGCTGTCTACTACGAAGCGGGACTACGAGGTATCCACCTGTCTCTGGAAATGGGACTGCGCATCTCCATCGTATGATATTTCTATTGCCTTTACCGTTTCTGATTTCTGGTAAATCTGACAAAGCATCTCGTACCGTCACTGTACGATATGGAGCAGAATCATTTCTCGTGATATTAGATGCAAACTGCAAACATAAAAAAATCAGATTCATGTAAACATGAAAATTGAGATAGTTATAATCTCGACGTAGTTAACATTGCTTTATTTCATGTAAAATTGGTCACGATGGTCAATAAAATAAAAACATCGCTACACAACACATAGGAGGAAAAAATACGAGATCAAATTACAAGATTCGGACAATCAAATGGTCGGCGATAGTATTGTTTATGTAGAATAATGGCAATAAAATAAAAAGAAGATGCTCTTGGGGCATTTGTAAATCTTATTTTAGAAATACAGAACGACTAATTATAAAGGCAGAAGGTGTAAGAGTGAATAAAAACCATTTTCCGGCAAATCAAAGGAAAGCTTGGATATGACATGCAATATGCATGTACAAAGTTATAGAGAAAATTAAAACATCTCTAACATTGTCGCAGACTTTACAAGTTGTAACAAAGTGTTGATAAGTTTGATATGCATTTGTCTAACATTAAGAAGACAAGAGCATGACAAAATATATGATTCAAAATTTGCTAAGCGCATATACAAGCACCAATTTCACTGCTAGCTCCGTCACAAATTAATTTAGAATCACATCTGAGCATGCGTAGTCAACTCCACCAACTTTCCAAGTTAGTGGTCATGGCAACGTCCAACTGGATGACTAGTACAGATTATGGAGTAATTAGCTCGCTCAGTAACAAATTTTCAGATATATTACTTGCGCATGCGCAGTCTGCTCGAGCATGCGGAGTCGACTTGACAAGCTGCTCAGGTTCATGGTTATGGCAACGACAAACTGCATCTACCAGCACCAATTTTGAAATAAATAGCATGCTTACCTGCAAATTAATATAGAAATCATCTGCGCATGCGCTAGGGCAGTAGTGACAACACCACAACTTTCGTAAGGCTTTGAATTTTTGTATATATATAAAGCCAATACTAGGTATAGTAGATGTCAACTAGCAGTGGAAGCTGGGTGCGATATAGTATGCAGTGGCAGGGGACAACACTTCGGTGGCGTCCGCACTTTCCCTGCGTACGAGCAAAGCCTATCGCAGGTGATCTCGGGGTCTGATGGGCGGAAGCTTGCTATTGCATCTCCCAAGTAAGATAGCGTGGAGGTGCCGAAATCTCCTACCGAAACGTTAACATGCGGCGTTCTAGTGCCTTGCGCTTAAGAAGGTATCGGGAAGCATGGACCGAAAACGGGGTTTTTTTGCTTTTGAATTTTATCTGTTGTTTATTTTTTCTCATAAAATAAACAAAGCAATGTTTTAATTAACTTCTTCTGACACCTATAATATAAGACGACCTTCAACATGTTTTATACAATTTTTATTGGTTTATATCTTTCTGATTTAACTCTCTCATTTGCTGTTTCTCGTGCATCACGAGCAAACCATGCAAGCGCTTCATGGCAAAAGGATTATCTGGTTCCCTTAATTAACATGCGACGCTCTAGTGCTCAACTATCTCGGTGTATCGGAAGCCATGGACCGAAAACTGGATTTTTGCTTTCGAATTTTATCTTTTGTTTACCTTTCGTTTAGAGTTCTTATCATAAAAGAAACTAGAACATCAAAGGATACTGCAAAGGTTCAAACAACCTCTGTCTTCTTGAATTATAATTTAAACCAACTGTAAACACGTTTTTTAATCCTAACCTTTACAATTGTTCTCATCATGAACGAGAGCATCCGTGGGCTTCGTGGAAAAGGGATTTTCTAATTTCTTATAATAGTTTCTACTAAGATAACATTTAATAAGCCTTGAAACTTGGATTGTCTGAACCTCTTTCAACGCTTATGTTATAAAATTTTGATACATTATTCACAGTAAATTTCTTTTTACTTAAAAATATTTTCATGATTCAATCTAGAAAGTAACTTCCTTCTCGAGTAATTTTACGATTAAACAGCACACTTTTGGATTCAAAGGTTTTCTTTTGATCGCATGGAGACAGCAGTCAAAGCTATTACGTACATGCATGTTCTGTATTTCGTTGTATGGAACCACCCAACCAAAGAATATCCAGATCTGATTTTAGCTGCATCGAGCGAAGAAAATTGAAGAATTTTTTTTAACTGTCACTTTTATATTTATAATTCTACGTATCATGTAAAACAGAGACACTTAAAACAGAGAAAGATTAAACACGTAATCCTTTTGTCGGCAAAGGACAGGATTAGTCAATTTAATTAATACAGACTCCAATGTACTTAATTATGTCTTCACTTCATGTCTCCACTTAATTAAATTGACTAATCCCCTTTGCCGACAAAAGTTACGTGTTTAATCTAATCGAGTACGATGTTTTGTAAAAATTCGTAGTCGTGACTACGATGTCTTTTTAAGCAAAGTAGGTATATTTTTCATTGTGTAGAAATTAGTTTACAGTACTATTTTCGAGCATCAGGCTTTAATTTAGAACATTTTTGAGCATATGTAATTTAAAAGGAAATACGACCTGCAAAACTTTTATGTATTTCGTACGCAAAGTGAACCGTAAACCAACAATAAAATCGTATAAATATATCGTACATAAAATTTAAAATAGTAAAGATTTTTCACTCTAAAGAGTCCTATGTTCTTGCAAAATCAGTATTACCGATTAGTTGATATCATTATTGACAAATAGAGCCGTAGCTGCTTCGCAAACGTCGGTGTTTTACACAATAAAAAGGCTCGTTCTATTGTTTACAACTAAAGCAAAAAATTTTGACGAAGCGATAACGACAACAAACTTCCTCATGCCATTCTCTTACACGGTCAAACTTCGCTCGTTGTCGTAGTCGTACTATTGCTAAAGCTCTCTAATATTCCCATCAAGCAATTTAGCAAGTTTATTAAGCAGGATACGTGTACAATAAATGGTTCTGCAGGATATGCATGTACAAGATTTTACATTCTCATACTAATAAAGTCTCGAGAAATACAATACATAACTGAGATATTTCGCAATCACCACTATTGTATAATTTACAAAAATGAATGCTTCAACATTTTGCTGTGTGTTTCATGTGGATTTAATTATACGATTGATAAATAAGAACTAAAATTGCTTAGGTTACAAAAACTCAGCAAAATCATAAATAGTGCGCGCATCATGTGAAAATTGTATTTGAAGACGGATGCATTAGAAGAAACATTTAAACGTGTGACAAGTCTAGACTTGAGGCTCAACAACAGGTAAAGCATCTTTATAATTATTGAAATAACATAAGAACGATGTGAAAAAACAGTTTTAAACATTGATTTGTCAACAGCAATAACATAATTTGGAAATTCCATCAATGACGATCAGTTGATCGTCACAAACACTCATAACCAAAACGAATGCGATGAACATATATAATTTATCCAAAGTTTGTAATAAATTGATAAACAAGCTATTGTGAATTAAGGATTAAAACACGACATACAGAGAAACAAACAGACGTGAACACAAATTAACTAAACCATTTTGCATTTAAAATAGAAAATATAATCTAAAGTTGTAACCTAGACCAAGGAGAGAACCTAATAAAAGAACGCTCGACACATAAGGATGGATTCTAAAGGACAAGCAAATGATGTAACCATTCAGCACATTCAGCATTACCTGGAAATTTGTCACAATGCAACACTGAAAAGTTATTCAAAAGATGGTTTCATTGATGGAAGAGAAATACTCCAAAGAGAAGCAACACATATTGAAGACGTCCTTTTGGCCTGTACCACTGGGAATGAACAAGTTTCACAAATATTGATGACAAGCGATTTATTTCAATTATCATGCAGATTCTTTTTCAATAGGGCCATCAATGGCATCATTTCTGAAGAGATACTGATCAAATTTGTACAAACTTGCTCCGACTTAGCAGAAGAGCACGGGAAAATAAGACAAAAGATTGATTTTGATTGCATTCTGGTTGATTGTGAAGTAGAAAATCGTATGGCTGTCCGATGGCTATTTCGAAAAAATGGAGAAAGTCATCGATGAGTACGATAGAAGTGAATTTCAGATGACGAGCCATTACTGAAAGCACATTTCAAATACCAGTTGGGTCGGTACTATTTCAACAAATCAAAAGACAAAATGAGCAACAAAGAAACAGCGAGAATATTTTGAAAAACTGTTAATAATGTCGAAGAATCTTGCAAATTAAGGAAACAAAGCATGGAAGAGAGAACTCGTCCCCTTTGACAAAGTTGACGTAATTTTGTCTCTTCATGCTTGGTTGTTTAAGAAAATATCAGAGCAAACAACGTCACCAAGTAGAAAGTTTCAATGAACTGATTGCTATGGCGAAAGATTGCTATGAAGCTGCTTTAGTGGACGAGTTTCTTGGAAAACATAAATTAGAATGTCATAAAGTCTTGGGTGATTTGCTGTTACAAATGAAGACAAATTGAGGCTGCAAGAAATTGCTTTGAATGTTTTGAAGAGTTGAAAGCTAACAAAGAAGAAACGTATACTTGCTCAAAACTATGCCACATCTTTGATGAAGTTGCAGGAATATGAAAGAGGGGAAGAAATGATCCAGAAAGCTATAGCTTTAGTAGACGAGTTTCTTGGAAAACATCCCTAAAAGTAGAATGTCATGAAGTCTTGGGTGATTTGCTGTTAGAAATGGAAGAAAACAGGTCTGCAAAGAAAAATTATGAAAGTGCTTTGAATGTTTTTGAAGAGTTAGAGCTAACTCCAAACAAAGGAAAGGTATACTTGCTCAAAAAGTATGCCACATCTTTGATGAAGTTGCAGAAATATGAAAGAGGAAACAAAATGTTCCAGAGAGCGTCCGAAATTAATGCAGAATATAAATTAGGTTTGGAAGACCTGATCGAGAAAGCTCGACAACAATATAACTGGAAAAAGAACCAACGACATTAAATCTCAACATACTTCAATAAATTAAAATGATTTCGTATCATTTTGTTCATAAAAGAAAAACTGCAATCATAAATATACCAATATAGTGGTCATGAAGTGCACAAATCTTAGCGTCTTATGTTAAAAAGTATAAATAATAGTTAAAAACTATACACATATACATCACGTGATTTTAAAAATCGATAATAATTCAATATTCGCGCAGTTGTGGAAATATCGTACCTCAAAAAAAATTCAAATACATATATTACTAGTTAAGTCAATATGCAATTAATATAGATATTTTTTTGAATGATTTTGTTTACCTCTTGTAAAATGTATAATTAATATTCCATGAGTTAATATTATTTTATTAAAGTTGGGCAGCATATTAGAATTTCGGTATCTACTTCAAATATAGTTTTTGCTCAAAGACCCAACGGAAATTAATTTAAAATATGAAAACACGACACTGGAGTGATTTGAAGTGAAGTTTCAAACATCATATCACTCATGATGAAGACACAACAATAAAGTATATAAGGACTTTGATTGCCTTTCATGGAACAAACAACAAGTAGCGCCGGATATGCATTTACAAAATCTTAACATCCTTACATTGATGACAGATGAGATATATATAAGAAATACTGTTTACTAACACAATACATAATTAAAATATTTTCTTTACAATAATGGTAGTTGAAAAGAGCAATGATCATTGCTGGCTTCCGACATTTTTTGTGGACTTCATGTGGATTTTAATACACAATCAATTAATAATAAATGAAATTTCCTAGGTTACTAAAACGGCAAAAACCTTAAAAAGTGCATAATATGTGCATAATTAGTTGAAGACGCGAAAGTAAATAAATCGTAGTTAGAAAAGAAACATTAAAACCTTTGAAAAGTCAAGACTTGAGGCAAAACAATGACATGTAAAGCATCTTTATAATTATGAACATAATATAAGAAGCATGTAAAGAATAATTTTATAGCAATAAAAAAAATTTCATCAATAGTGATGACTCGTGTTTACAACATCAAATCGACGCTATGAATAGTTGGGTGGCAAATTGACAGCTTAGAAAAGCTGAATGTAGAGCTTTTGTATTCATAATAAAGAATACGTATTTTAGATATAATATTTAATAATAAAATATAGCGAAAGAACACTTCTATTCGTTTCATCGATTCGACGCTTTCTGTGGCAACATGACTAAGGAACGCGAGGCTCATGACATCGTCACAAACGCTCAATATTAGTACCCTACGAATGCAATCTCAACACATATAAACTAACACATGTATATAGTTGTAAATTGAGGTTTAAATCACAACATACAGACAAAGAATATAAGGAATATATAAGGAATAAAGTTTTCCACATCAAATTACTCATAATTGACATAAAATATATGTATGAACTCTGATGTAAAAAAATTGTTCTCGTACGATAAAACAATAATGGTTCTTCAGGATATACATGTACAATAAATGGTTCTGCAGGATATACGTGTACAATAAATGGTTCTGCAGGATATACATGTACAATAAATGGTTCTGCAGGATATACATGTACAATAAATGGTTCTGCAGGATATACATGTACAATAAATGGTTCTGCAGGATATACATGTACAATAAATGGTTCTGCAGGATATACATGTACAAGATTTTTACATTCTCATACTAATGAGTCTCGAGAAATACAATACATAACTGAAATATTTCGCAATCACCACTATTGTATAATTCAAAAAAATGAATGCTTCAAAATTTTGCTGTGTGTTTCACGTGGATTTAATTATACGATTGATAAATAAGAACTAAAATTGCTTAGGTTACAAAAAACTCAGCAAAAATCATAAATAGTGCGCATCATGTGAAAATTGAATTTGAAGACGGATGCATTAGGAGAAACATTTAAACGTGTGACAAGTCAAGACTTGAGGAAGTTCAACAACAGGTAAAGCATCTTTATAATTATTGAAATAACATAAGAACGACGTGAAAAAACAATTTTTAAACTTTGATTTGTCAACAGCAATAACATAATTTCAAAATTCCATCAATGGCGATCAGTCGATCGTCACAAACACTCACAACCAAACGATACGATGAACATGTATAATTTAACCAAAGTTTCTAATAAATTGATAAACAAGCTGTGAATTGAGAATTAAAACACGACATACAGAGAAACAAACAGACGTGAACACAAATTAACTAAACCATTTTGCATTTAAAATAGAAAATATAATCTGAAGTTGTAACTTTGACCGAGGAGAGAACCTAAAAAAAGAACACTCGACACATAAGGATGGATCCTAAAGGACAAGCAAATGATATATCCATTCAGCACATTCAGCATTACCTTGAAATTTGTCACAATGCAACACTGAAAAGTTATTCAAAAGATGGTTTCATTGATGGAAGAGAAATACTCAAAAGAGAAGCAAGAAATATTGAAGACGTCCTTTCGACCTGTACCACTGGGAATGAACAAGTTTCACAAATATTGATGACAAGCGATTTATTTCAATCGTCATGCAGATTCTTTTTCAATACGGCCATCAATGGCGTCATTTCTGAAGAGATACTGATCAAATTTGTACAAACTTGCTCCGACTTAGCAGAGAGCACGGGAAAATAAGACAAAGATTGATTTTGATTGCATTCTGGTTGATCATGAAGGTAGAAAATCGTTATGGCTGTCCGATGGCTATTTCGAAAAAATGGAGAAAGTCATCGATGATTCTAATAGAAGCGAATTTCCAGATGAAGAACCATTACTGAAAGCACATTTCAAATACCAGTTGGGTCGATACTATCTCAACAAATCAAAACACGAAAAAGCAGCCCAACAAACAGCGAAATATTTTGAAAAGCTGCTAATAATCGAAGAATCGCGTGACTTAAGGAAACAAAACATGGATAGAAGAACTCGTCCCCTTTGACGAAAGTTGACGTGATTTTGTCGCTTCTCATGCTTGGTTATTTAAGAAAATATCAGAGCACAACGTCACCAAGTAAAAGTTTCAATGAACTGATTGCTATGGAGAATGATTGCTATGAAGAAGCTACAGCTTTAGTGGACGAGTTCCTTGGAAAACATCCCCTTAAAGTAGATTGTCATAAAGTCTTGGGAAATTTGCTGTTACAAATGAACCAAAAGGAGTCTGCAAGGAAAAATTATGAAAGTGCTTTGAATATTTTTGAAGAGTTAGAGCTAACTCCAAACAAAGGTAAGGTATACTTGCTCAAAAACTATGCCACATCTTTGATGAAGTTGAAGGAATATGAAAGAGGGGAAGAAATGTTCCAGAGAGCGTCCGAAATTAATGCACAATATAAATTAGGTTTGGAAGACATGATCGAGACAACTCGACAACAATATAACTAGAAAAGAACCAACGACATTAAATCGCAACATACTTCAATAAATTAAAATGATTTCGTATCATTTTGTTGATAAAAAAAACTGCAATCATAAACATACCAATATAGTGGTCATGAAGTGCACAAATCTTAGCGTCTTATGTTAAAAGTATAAATAATAGTTAAAACTATTCACATATTTATCACGTGATTTTAAAATCAATAATAATGCACTATTCGCGCAGTTGTGGAAATATCGTACCTCAAAAAGAAATTCAAATACATATATCACTCGTTAAGTCAATATGCAATTAATAAAGATATTTTTTTGAATGATTTTGTTTATCTCTTGTAAAATGTATAATTAATATTCCATGAGTTAATATTATTTTATTAAAGTTGGGCAGCTTATTAGAATTTCAGTATCAGCCGACGCAATTTTAAGGCAATTTTCTACTTTTATCGTTGTTTCCATATGATACAAATATTTCATGTTGAATTAAAGTTACGTAAAGTAACGTTTCCAAAAGCTTTTCATCGCCAGGTTAGAAGATTCCTGATATGAATTGCCGGCTTTTTATAGTTTATAAGATGCGATATTGCAGCATGAATTTTGAACTTAATCCTTCGCTATATTGCTACAAGTACCTCTACTTGTCAGTTAAATCGAATATTATAAACCTTACGATGTTCTAGTGTTGATAATACGAATCCTCGCGCGCTTTTATCCCAACATGAAAACATGTGACTTGGACGAAATTAGAACTCGCACCAAGCACACAAAGATGGGAGACGAGTCAAATCTCTATAGAACTGCGTATGGACGAGAGACTCTCGCCACTATAGCAGTTTTCTGCATGGCACCTCTTTCAACTTTATTCCCAAGTCATCGTCAGCAGTAGCGTAGCCAGCCACATGTTTAGATCGAATTTTTATTTTATGAATTCCGACACAGTTTTATATAGTGTTAAAAATGATAAAATTCAAATTCTCTAATCTCTAACTATTTTACGGTAGTCAGTCATTGAGAAGTGTATGTTATAAAATATTAAAGAAACTAACCTCTGCAATCCTTTCAAAATGTAGTTATAATTGTTTAATAAGAATATCCCAGACAGGGCAACTTGACCCAACATTGTAACGTAACTTTTCGACTTCAGTTCAAGATTTAATCCAAGAGCACCAAGAACACGACCTTCAACATTTAAAATACACACGTAAGCTATGATAAAGAAGAATGCATTTATAAGGAAAGAATTTTGAAAACTTACCAAAGTATCGAGCAACAAGAGTTTTAGGTGATACACTGTCACCAATTCGTGGATCCATTACAGATTCTATATGAACAAAAATGTACAACTTACTTAAATGCAAAGTATCTGTTCTTTTCATTCATTCCTTTTCACGTAAGCTTAAACAAAAGTCGTGATCTAGTACGTACGTTCATATAAATTGGGGCATTTGTTGATAAATAACAGTAAAATGTATCATCCAGGTGTAGAGCGAGGTATGTGTGGATAATTCAGTCAGAACTTGTGAATATTGACGACGAATAAATACTTCAATAAAGAAGGCAATCTTACGCTAGGGTCTGGTCTCATGTTTCTCACAAGCTTTACCGTTCAGTGATTCTAAATCTATGTATTCAAGAACAATTCAATTTTGAAACTAATGTACATGAGAAACGATCGTCAATATCCAATCATAGGGTCATTCACCGGCAAGACCATCGTTCAAAAATGTTTTAGGATAAAACTGAAATAATCAACATTAAGATAATGCATCTTAAATATTACCTGAGTTTAAGAGCATATTTCCAACAGTGTCCGTATATCCCAACAGGTGCTCAAGAAATATCAACGTCTATAAAATAATACAACAAAGAGTAACTTTATAAAAAACTTTCGCTCGCGAAATTAATTTACTTGACAAAGAAAATGCATTTACAGACGAAATACACGAGAGATCATGTAAGACTAGCAACATTGCTTTAAGTCTAGTCAGTCACATTACATACATTGCTTGTGAGTTCATGAACAGTGCCATCTTTAGGCATATTTGATTGCTTGTCCGGCTCATGCTAAAAGAAAAACATCAAGTAACAATAAAAATGCCATGAATTTACTGGTGAGGGTGTGTATTTCTGTTAGTAAGGTGGGATGTGTGTGCGCACCTCTGTTAGTAAGGTGGGATGTGTGTGCGTACCTCTGTTAGTAAGGTGGGGTGGGAGAGCGTACCTCTGTTAGTAAGGTGGGGCTGAGTACACCTGTTAATAAAGTGAAGGTGCTCACCCCTCCTTACCAAGAGGAGGTGAAGAAGAGGTTAGGTGAATTTTCTTACAAAATATTACTATAACAGAAATGAACACAAAGTGTGACATAACACGATGACATCTACAAAAGTCAAAAAATCTAATCCAAACTAAGGTACCCTCCCAAACAATCATCCTGGATCCTTCTCTGAGAGAGACGTCATGGATGTAAAGAGAAATTATGGTAGCATAAAATAAATGATCTCGTCAATGTCATTAATGAAGAAGACGTTTAGTAAGATTCATTGCTGTAATTAATTACATTCAACAAAGCTTTATAAGTTGTCATGAATTTCAACATCTTTGCTACGATCACGTTCAACAAACAAACCTTGATATTTTCAGTAAAGTCATCCAAAGCTTTAGCTCCTAAAGCAATGAACAAAAGAAAGATAGAGCGAGAGAACACATCCATTCAGGGACGAAACTAGAACGTTAAGTGAGGGGGAGGGTTGGGTGAATATTTACAAGATAAAGCGAGAGAACACATCCATTCAGGGACGAAACTAGAACGTTAAGTGAGGGGGGAGGGGTGGGTGAATATTTACAAGATAAAGCAGAGAACACATCCATTCAGGGACGAAACTAGAACGTTAAATGAGAGGGAGGGGTGGGTGAATATTTACAAGATAGAGCGAGAGAACACATCGGAACGAGCCTAGAGCGTTAAAGGAGTGAGGGTGGGTGGGTGAATATTTACATATTCAGTACTTCCCTGCAAATTTTCTTTTGAAATTATAATCGCTAACAAACCAAATCAGTCAAGCAGAGGTGAATATATGAATATTTCCTCCCACTTAACGTTCTAGTTTCGTCCCTGCCCCCCAAGAGATGATGTAACACATCGATAAAATTTTAAATATCCTACCACGGACTCCAAATTAACAAAAAGATTTGGGATTGCTGCTTGAGTTGGAGTACGAACTCCCTAGAACAGATGAAATTTTAAGATTTTCTTAGGCTACACGTGAAAATGACCACATGTAACAAAAAAAAAACAAGTCAAAATATAGAAATATGTAACATATTAAATCAGAATACATGACATAACATGTTGGCATTATAAAAACTGTGACACTCTTCATCAAGAATATGGCGCATTTGTATGTTCGCAAAGTTTGAGCCACATTTAACGTGCTCTAAATTTTTCCTAAGAAAAAAAGGGTACCTGTAAAGTTTCCTATTTACCTGTAATGCTTGAGAGAACAAAGGCAACACAGATTTAACATACTTGAGCACGGGAAGAATAGGCAACAGAGAGAAATATTCTCTTTTCGCAATTAATTTTCTTGCCGAGTTTTCCATGACCTCAATAAGGAATGAAAAAACGTTTAAAAACGTGAAAAATTTCAAACAAATTCTTCTCATAAAGCGACTTACTTCTCCCTCGACAATCAACGTTTCAATCAAATTTTGAATGAGAACGTCAAAAATACCATCTCTATGTTCTTTACAAATGATCAAATTTATCAATGTCCGTTCACTCTAAGAATGACATATCTGCAAAATAACTTTTGCATCGAAAAAATACACTTTAAAATACACTTTAAAATACACTTTAAAAAATACACTTTAAAAAATAAACTTTAAAATACACTTTAAAATACACTTTAAAATACACTTTAAAATACTTTAAAATACACTAAATAAAACACTTTAAAATACACTTTAAAAATACACTTTAAAATACACTTTAAAATACACTTTAAAAATACACTTTAAAATACACTTTAAATAAATTAAAATACACTAAAAATACACTTTAAAATACCTTTAAAAATACACTTTAAAAATACACTTTAAAATACTTTAAAATACAGCTAAAATCACTAAAGATGCTGCTAAAGATGCACTTAAAAATAAACTTTAGATCTGTTAAGAATAGACTAAGATGCAGCTAAGATCTGCTTCTAAAGTCTGGCCTAAAGATCTGGCTAAAATCTGCACCTTAAAATGCACTAAAGATGCAGGCTAAATCTGCTTTAAAGAATGTAGCTAAAGATGCTGCTAAGTCTTGCTAAGATCTGCTTTAAGTCTGGCTAAAGATGCACTAAAATGCACTTAAAGATAAACTAAGATGCACTTCAAAGAATCAAACTTTAAAATCTGGCTAAAAATCAGCACTAAAATGCACTTAAAATCAGGCTTTAAGATCTGCACCTAAAATACACTAAAAATGCTTTAAAATACAGCTAAAAATCAACTTTAAAAATCTTTCTAAATACAAACTAAAAATACAAGCTTAAAATACACTCTAAATCTGGCTAAAAATACACTTTAAAATACTGCTTAAAATACACTTTAAAAATACACACTAAAATACACTTTAAAAAATATTTAAAATACACTTTAAAATACGCGTTAAAACAACTATGTGCAACAAACCTGGAGAAGTTTAAAAGTGCATGAAAAGAGTGATGAATCGACCAGCTTCTATCTCACTAAATAAATAAAGAAATTTGTTTCTACGTATGAATCTTTAAAAGATAACAGTGTTAGAGTTAAAACACAAAAGCAACGAGTTCGAGGAAAGAATCAAAGTTAAAGGTTTCGGAAGATTATTGAGATAAATTCTGCCTGGTTTAGCTAATTACTTTAACTTGAAAACTCAGCCATTTTAACGATAATGTCACAGATTAAGAATATACAGAAGAGTCACTCATGTCGGAGCCTTTGATGTTTTTGTCCTCGCGCATGTCGTGCCGCGCATGGTGGCCGCCATTATTCCAGCCAGATGATTAAGGTTTTTGACTTTTTCGAAACCTTTAAAATGATCCGAAGTCATTTCTTGAGTCAAAATATACTTGAATTCATTATTAAGTAATGACGCAATGTAATTTTAATGGTTGGAAACAAGTGAGAAATCTTAATCATCTGGCTGGAATAATGGCCGACATGAGGACGTGTTGTACACCTGGTGACCTTCTGTATAATCATTATTCTGTGCTAATGCGGTCTATAACACGTGACGGAAGACCACTGAACTAAAATACCTGGAACGCTACCTGTAATACAAAACCCTAATGATTTTTGAAGACGTGATTTTACCCCAGATGTGTAGTCAATTATTACTCCGCGAGAGAATCTCGAAACACCAAACACGCGTGACTGGTGTAAAATCTCGCGTGTCTGGGTTTAAGATTTGGCTTCAATTATTTGCTTCAGGTAGCGTTCCAAGTATTTTAGTTCAATGGGAAAGAACTAAGCCTGTCGGTTGAAGAGCATTTTTATCCAGTTGGATTTGAAATCATCTTCTTACGACGAACAATTACGAGCAATTACGACGAACGCCGAACGACAAAAAGTTTACAAACACAGAACAAAAAATACACAATAAAATACATTACTCTTCATCCTCTTTGGATGTTGACAAATCGAACATTGCAGCTGGTGAGTTGACTTTCCGATTTCCTGTATATTCAAACGCTTTCGATGGTACACGACGCACAAGATTTCTTTTCATAGTTGATTTTCTTTGAGGAGTGATGCCGCTTAACTGTTTCAACTTCGGACTGATCATCTGAAGATGTAAATAAGTTTGTACATTGTGAGATTATCATTGAAGACGTTAACCTTGACACTTCAGGGAAATCCTGTTGAAAATTTTAGCCCCTACAATAAAACCATCTCTTCGTATCCAGAAAAGACTATCTCTCTAATGGGTGAAACATCGGTAAAAAATCTCGCTTCCTCTAGTAAAACAAATCTTGACAACACCCCACCCCCCGGGGGAAACATCAACATTTCCGATGAAAAAATTTTTCTAACTTTTCAGATAAAAAGATTATAGATAAAAAGATAGACTGACTTTTATGTACTTACAATGTTGGCAGGAGAATAACTTTCTATCTTTCCTAGCGAGTGTCCCTCGACTAATCTGAGGAAAGTCGAAAACAAAAAAACTTGAATATTTTATGAAAAGAACCCATTATTCTGCATTTAATATAGACGACGAATTTTATGAGAATAGACATATTTCGACATCTCATAATGTCTACTGAAGATGACATCAAGAAATGTAGAAACATGTCTATTCTCAAAAAAATCGTCGTTATATTAATGCACATTGCTAACAGTTCTTTTACGAAATTATAGAAACCCATTATTTCTTAATGCAGTCAAACGTTCACTGATATAAAATATTTTATAAAAACAAGCTTTCGGCTATAAAATATTTTTTTATAACCCGTCGAAGGCTGTAGACAGAGAGCCGAAAGCTTGTTTTATAAAAAAATTGTATATTAGTGAACGTTTGACTGCGTTATGTATAATACTGATAACGGATCACGCATTTTTCCCATTGTTTCTTGTAACAAGTACATCACAAACCCTTGTAAGGTCTTCATTAAGACACTTGATCGAATTTGACTGTACACATTCATAAAGTCTGAAAGAACAAAAAATTCTTTTATAAAATACCATATGCCAAACGCGTGCTCTGATTGGTCGATGTCCGACTTTGGATCAGACCATCAAAACACGAAAATTGAAATCGCTATCAGCGCAGTCGTGAAATTTTTGAACATACCATTGAACTAAAATACATGGGACGCTGCCTAATAATTTTTTGAAGCAAATTTTACACCCAGACACGCGAGATTTTACCCCGGACACGCGTGTGTAGTTCAATCGTCACCCAGAGAATCTCGAAACACAACACTCGCGTGTCTTGGGTAAAATTTCGCGTATCAGGGTGTAAGATTTGGCTTCAATCCACCTTTCCGACAGTAAACACACGCGTCAGAAATACGAGATCAAATTACAAAATTCTGACAATCAAATGGTCGGACATTGTATTGTTTATGTAGAATAGTGGCAATAAAATGGTTGGGAGATGCTCTTGGGGCATTTGTAAATCTTATTTTAGAAATCCAGAACGACTAATTATAAAGGCAAAAGGTGTTAGAGTGAATAAAACCATTTTCCGTCAAATGAAAAAAGCTTGGATATGACATGCAAAGTTATAGAAAATTAAAACATTTCGCAGATATTACGAGTGCCGTAACAAAGTGTTGATAAGTTTAATATGCATTTGTCAAAACAAGCTTAAGAAGACAAGTAGCATGCAAAAAATATATGATTGAAAACTTGCTCAGCGCATCTACAAGCACCAATTTCAGAGCTCGCTCTGTCACAAATTAATCGAGAATTAATGCGAGTATGCGTAGTCAACTTCACCAACTTTCCAAGTTCATGGTCATGGCAACAACCAATTGTATGTACTAGTACAGATTATGGAGTAATTAGCTCGCTCAGTAACAAATTTTCAGATATATTATCTGCGCACGCAGTCTGCTCGAGCATGCGCAGTCGGCTCGACCAGCTGGCCAAGTTCATGGTCATGGCAACGACCAACTGCATCTACTAGCATCGATTTTGAAGTAAATAGCATGCTTAGTAGCAATTTAATAAATCATCTGCGCATGCGCTCGAGCCTGCGCAGTCCACTCGACCAATTGTTCATAGTCATGGCAACGACTAACTAAATGTACTCGCACTACATTTGTGGCAATTAGCTCACTAAGTCGCAAATTATCAAAGAAATCATCTGGGCATGCGATAGTGACTTTGTTAATACCACAACTTTCGTAAGCCTCTGAATTTTGTATATATATATAAAGTCAATACTAGGTATAGTAGATGTCAACTAGCAGTGGAAGCTGGGTGCGATATAGTATGCAGTGGCAGGGGCCCACACTTCGGTGGCGACCGCACTCTCCTGCGTACCCCGAGCAAAGCCTATCGCAGGTGATCTCGGGGTTTGATGGGCGGAAGCTTGCTATTGCATCTCCCAAGTAAGATAGCGTGGAGGGGCCGAAATCTCCTACCGAAACGTTTAACATGCGGCGTTCTAGTGCCTTACGCTTAAGAGGGTATCGGGAAGCATGGACCGAAAACGGGGTTTTTTGCTTTCGAATTTTATCTTTTTGTTTACAAGAGTTCTTATCATAAAAGAAACTAGAACATTCAAGGATACGTTCAAACAACTTCTGTCTCCTTGAATTATAATTTAAACCAACTGTAAACACGTTTTTTACTCGTTACCACGTAACTTTCTCATAATTCTCTCGTGACGAATGAGAGCCTCCTTATACAATGTAACTCTCATCACGAACAAAGGCAGCCCATGAGGCTTCATGGAAAAAAATTGTTTCTTTTTATAATAGTTTCTACAAAGATAACATTTAATAAGCCATGCAACTTGTATCGTCTAAATTGAACCTCGGTTTCAAACCTTATGTTATAAAATTTTGATACATTTTTGATAGTAAATTTCTTTTTTATCTTACAATATTTTAATGATTCAATATAGAAAGTAACTTTACTTCTCGAATAATTTTACGAATAAACTGTACACTTTTCGGTTAAAAGGACTTCTTTTGATCGCATAGAGACAACCGTCCAATTTATTACGTAAATGCGTGTTCTATGCATTTCGTTGTATGAACCACCCAACCAAAGATTATCCAGATCTGATTT